CACACACACACACACACACACACACACACACACACACACACACATATATATATATATCTTCTAACGAATATTACATAACAATATTGAAATTGAATAAAAGATACTCCAAAACAGAAGAATAATGTAGAAGAGTAATGTATTTATTTGCATATGATATGATCGTTTCGTTGTTCCATTGTATTTACATTAGATTAGGATGCATATATACTACTGTAAAACTTGATCGGAAAAATTATGTCGATTAAGACACGTATTAATATATCTATACACGTGCCTGCATTCGTAGTAGATTACTATCAGCTTTTTTCATAATTGTTAAATACATCGAGAGATTATCGATTAACAATATATATAAATACGATTGGTCTTGTGACTTAGCTTAGATTCGCTATCGCCAGTTTCAAAGATTCATTTAAGATTCGAATAGATTTGTTTTGATCGAGCCTGTATTTCGCGCCTATAGATTTTGAATTAATGATAATGACAATATCACTTTGTCTTTTGCGTAGCACAATTTAAAAGAGACTTACGTCTATCATTCGTTTTTTGTAGCAGCGAAACATTCAAAAATCTTTCCTGGCGTCGCTTCTGAAAGCGATTTGCAAAAATGGCGAACGTCCAGGGATAGAAAGTCGCCGTCTCTGAGTCAGATGGGACCGGATTCCATCAAACACAAAGTAAGTTGTTTACCATTCTCAAAAGCACGAACTTACTTATGTGTTTACCATTCTCAAAAGCACGAACTTACTTGTGTGTTTACCATTCTCAAAAGCATGAACTTACTTGTGTGTTTAGTGCCCATTAGCTTAGGCTATTTATTTTCCCATTAGGTATAGAATTATTTAATTAATAATAAATGTAAATAAAATGGATATATATTTTTTAGTACGTTATTACGTTACCTTTCAAATTTTGTTAATGTGTGTTTTTTATATCATTACACAGTTTTCCTTACAAGACAATGGATCTGCGAAATATTTTCAAGGAGCGATGCACACACCAAATATGGGAGAAAAAGTTGCTCAAGTAAGTGAAATATTCTTATATTGTATTTAAAGAGCAACGTTAATAGAATCTAAATTGTGAGAAGGGAAACAGGTAGAAAAATCTCAAAAGATATAGTAATAGTAAAAAGAAACATCCATTTCTATTAATTATTCTGTGGGATTATCCACAGAAATGAATTCTTTATTACGTATATAATGTTAAAACTGGTTACTATAGCATATAGAAAATTCGAAGCTCACTCGTAATATCATTCGAGAACATTTTGGAAGATGGCAGGAAATTAAAAGCATCATGACGTCGCACGTATCCAACATAATTGGCTTAATTGGCATAATTGAAATTGGCTTAAAACTGCTTTGCGGAAATGACAGCGTCAAACATTCCTTGGTAGGTCAAAGATATCTTTCGCCTACTTAGAACAATTCAGTTTCATAGATTAAAGATATTGTTAAGAAGTTAAATCTTATTTGTGATACTAGCTAAGTGAAATATGTTTTTGTCACGAAATACTTTCGTCACATTAATGAATTTTTGATCTTAAAATATTTTCAGATGAATTTTATGTTTTCTTCTATGTTTATTTTTATTTTTAATAAGAAACGAATTACGTAATTGGGCATAATAAGAAATTGTATTTGTGTATTTAACTTCTGCGTAACTTATTATCTCCATCATTTATTAATTCAAGAGTAATAAATCCAACAACAATTATGAGAGCAATAATATTAATTAGAGATGCACCATAAAATTACCGGGATCGTAAAATTACCGGATACCGGATATCTGGGCAGAATACATTGGATATCTGAGAAGGCAATTTCTTCGAGTTGGACATTTTCCAGATATCCAATCGGATTCCGAGAAAATGTCTTCTAAAAAAAAAGGCTATCGGAAAAAAGATTGTAATTTTGCGACAATATATAAGATATTATAGCATCATGAATATGCATACTTATTTCTTGAACACTTTTATACAAGAAAAAATCAACAATTTAATGATATCAAATTTCAACCAGATACCTTCTGAGGTAATAGTGATATCCGACTATCTGGTCGGATAGTAAAAAGTGCCGGATAATATTGGATATTGAATACTTTCCGGGTATCCGGTACATCCCTAATATTAATAAAATAACATATATATATATA